ATATGCACTGTGCAGAGATTTGTGGATGACGCCCTATATCTGCCAGAATAGCCAGCACGCACCAGCAGAGTTACTAGATGACTTAAAGGAAAGAGATTTGGTAATATTCAAACTCGTTTGTGAGAATAAAAAATGCACTTACGAGAAGGAATTGTGTGATCAACTAAAGACGAGTGTAGCAGAGGGTGCTCCAATTGAGGATGAAATTCTTGACTTGGCTCTTTACTGGATTGCTGAAAATGGGCTAACAGCACTTCTCCATGAGAGGATAAATGATCTAAATGTGAATAAAGAGATTTCCAAATATTCTAAAACTACCATGATGCATGCTGCAGTATTATCAGGTCACAGAAACGTAGTAGAATATCTTAAATATAATGGTGCAAGTTTTACGGAAACCATTGGTGGTTTTAAAGTTAGAGACCTTGCAGCTATGAGGCAATGCAAAAATTGCTTAATGTACATCTGTATACTTGAACATGACTCAGATTCCTGGATGTGTGAATACAAGAAAATGAAAGACTCTTATGAGGTTCCAAATGTTGAACCACAAGCTTTGGAATATTTGCGAAAAGATGCTCTTTCTGCCTTAAGTGAGCCTTTCCCTAAGGATCAGGCATATGAAATGCTGAAGAAGAAAGGAGACATGCTAAAAATCAAAACATTTGCTGACTTATTAAGTGTAGCAGAAGAAGCAAAAGACAAAGATTTCATGAGGGATTTCACTGAGAAAGTCTGTGAAGAAAATGACGTCATTTTGGAGACATTATCAAAGATAGATTCAAGATTTGCTGGAAAATTCAGCATAACTGGACCTCTTGCTGATGGATATGAAGTGACCTCTTTTGACACAGTATATACAAATCTTGAAATAAAGTCCTCAGATGCTAAAGATCTACACATAACAATAACAGAGGATGGAAAAGGCTTAGACATAGAGACAACACCCTCAGATTTTCTAAATCCTCAGACCTTCACTAAAGCTTTCATGTCCCTCATGGAAAAGGTTGTGGAGAAGCACACATCCTCTCAGAGGAAACAGGGTCTGGTACTGGTACCTCCTTTTCTACTCCCAAGTGAGGACGGTGTTTATCTCTTTTGGATGTGGCGACGGGATAAAATTAGGAGATTTTTCAGAATGAATATAAGACCCGTTGTGGAAGTTAAAGCTCCCGAGCATTTAGAAAGAAACTTATTTAAGAAAAGGAATACCAGTAAGAGTGTCGCATCAACCATATTAATAAGCTTAATGCATGAGAGGAAATATTTGTACAACTCTTACACACCCACAAAATTAATGATTGAGAATCTGTCAAACGAAGAACGGAAAACACTTTATATGTGTCGTTTCTTGACCAAGATGATTTCCTTTCCATGGTTATACCAACGGATACAAATACACCCCTTATCTTCCCCATGGCAAGAACCTAACAGAATTGCAGAACTTAGAACTCAAGTGTTAGACTCTCTCTTTCTGGAAGAACTTAATGAAACAGCACAATCTGACTTTAAGCCTGGCAATATCCAAGAAAGAGTGCGTTCTATCCTCCAAAGAGGCACAGAGAAAGACAGTGATGGCATCCTAGTTGCCAGAAAAGAGATCTGTCATCTCTATAATCCCTCTTTACTTGTATCAAACACATTTCAGTCTATCGAAGGCATCATCAGATACCTTGACGAATTCGTGTAGTCAAGTATGTGCATCGAATACTTTAAACTAATATTTGCTTCTTAATATGCAAAAGAAAGAAAACGAGCAAATGATACCACAGTAAATCAGTGCTAGAATGTTTAATTGGTTTATCAGTATGTTAATGACTTTTTCCATTTGATTTCAGGAAAAATCCCATTAAATCTTAATCTTAATCTCCTAGGGTCATCGGTAATGGTAAATGAAAGGAAGATATGTGTAGATGATGTTAGTAGCGGTTATAGATATCATAATGATAATAAAACAGTAACTATGACTAGTGATTTTATATTTTCATATTCATCCAGAGAAGGAGAGAGGGGGGACTAGCTAAGTTATATGCATAAATATGTAGATGAATTGCATAAAGACACATATATGCATACAAAAAGACACATACACCCACTCAAGCACACAATCACACACAAATATATACACATAGATACACACACACATATAAAGACATATTCATATGGAGTTGTACTTGGAAAATTGAATTAAAAACCAATAAATGCCATATAGTCAGGTCCGAAAAACATAGTAAACAGTGAATAACCAGAAACTCAAGCCCAAATGATCATATAAATGAAGAAATCCAGGGCTGATTACCAACATGAAGAGGACATTCATATGTGTGGACGAAAATGTAGTAAAAATGTGTATTCGTGCGTTTTAGATATGACACAAAGCTATGGAAAAGCGGGATTCAAGGAACATGGTGCTATCAGTTCAGGTATCACAGAGGCCTAAGTTATTTAATCGTTGATGTACTCTGCCAAACATGCAACTAATACCAAGGGCGTTATTTGAAAGGCCTCCGAGTAAAATGAAGATAATACTAAACTTTACTTTTACCTACTAGCATTTGTAGAGGGTAGCGATGGGGGATCCCTAATTAGCCCCACTCCTCATTTTTATACCCATTAGTGTAAATATAGTATATACAGGATCTTTATATTTATTTGGCCTTTCAGGTGTTTTCAGCATTTTTTTTATTATTATTTTTTTTTTTTGGGGGGGGTGCAATGAACCTGTGCCTATTGGTGTTACAGACTCATCATGTTTATAATTACAAGTAGATTGTCTGAACATATCACTGGCAGGTCAAATAAACCAATGGGATTAAGGGCAAAGACCCCTACTCATGAAGGTCTATGGGCATCTGTGGGGTAGGCCAACCTGCTGATGTCAAATCCCCCTTATCTCTGCAATATAGTCTTAACTTTACAGGATGTCACATTGTCTGAGATTGGTGTAGACTTCTTTAAGGTCACGCCTCTAACTGCCGTGGAATGACCAATCAGGGCGGCATCGCCACCGTGCTAATCTAGGTCACTCCGCCTTTTGCACATGACCTCCGATTTTCTCCTTGACCAGGGGACCCACTGCCTGGCACCATTCTGCACAAGCCGGCCACTTCCATCTTCAGCCCCTGTCAACAACCCCTCACAAAATGGTGCCTGCGGTGGAACCCCAACGAGAAACATCTCACATAGTGAGATATCTCTTAATGTTTCAGAGTGGAAATGGCATCCTGAATAATTAGATAAATAATACCATGGGAAAATATAAAATGAAAAGGATATTATAGTATTGCTTAAAAACAATACAAGAAGCCAGAGAAGTGTAAAATGAAAGTAGAAGAACCAAGAAGTTACATATATGTAGAAGTATGTGTTAGTGTAATCTTGAACGGCCAGATCCTATCTTTCATTATTAGTGTCACTGTAGACTTAATACTTACCCTTTTCGTTTTTTTTTTTTTTTTTTTTTTTTTTTTTTTTTTTAGAATTCTTAGCAGGAGCTTTATAATACATATCAATGTCTAAGGATGAGGAAAAAGAAGTCCCCCGGAGTACAACAGAACATCCTACGCATATTTCTCAAAAAAATACAAAATGCCACGGGATGCCGTGACGTCCAGCTCGTGATATGTAGTCATTGTATAAATTAAGCAATACCTTGTGTAACTGTACAAACATTCAGTATCTAGTTCTTTTAACTAATAAGCATCTGTTGGTAGTAAAATAACTACAGAAGTATACTAACTGTAACCCTAAAGAGACATACACACAGTGGACATACAACGGATGTCACGCAATCCACCACTCATGCAGATACAGATACATAAGCTTATACTTATATACATACACAAACACTTTCACAACCTTACTCCCACGTGTTTTGCATGCAGTAGTATACACTTACGCAGAACACGACACACGGGGTAAACATTATCTAAAGAGGGGTGAGGGAGTACAGTGCTACAGGTACTTTATTCTGACCTAACAAAATGCCTACAAAACATTTCCGAAATTGGACACGACTCTGCACTCGCTACTTAGGTCCGGGGCGAGGGCCTCCTAGACACTACTTGTCCACTCAGGGAAGGAGCAAGTCTTGAATAACATAATACTAGGAAATAATGAGAATAATTCCGGAAACTCAAATAAGCCACTTTTTGCGATTGTAAGGCAGCAGGAGAATATCATCAACTAGACAGGAAAAGCATTTATCCTACTCTTTCATCTTTAACACAAAATTGCATAGTTTTCTTATAACTGCTAATTTGGTCTGCTCATAAGGCATTTGAGGAGATGCAATTGAAGACTAGGGATAGGCACGCACATAGGTATGTGCATATCAGTTCAATCGAACCAGCTCATTATTCTGAGTACTCATTATTAGGCCTTTTAGTAGGTTAAAGTACATCAAACATACGCGGTACTTGCAAGGGGGCTGCCTGGTGCAGTGGCAACTCCTGCAGCGTGTAGCCAGGAGGGTCTAAATGTTTAAGCTCGGCTCCCAATTGTGCCCCGAGATGAGGAAGGGTGCCAATGGTTCGCCTGCTAAATAAAAAGGTTTTCAAAAGAAAGTGTCAGCATAGTCCTTGCAAGGGAGTTTGTGAACACAGACCATCATCATGATCTTTGCAGTTTTCTAACTTTAAAGTAATCTAAAGTCCTTGTAGTTAATGATGATATCAGAAATGTTAGTATTCAAAAAGACTATCTATCCGTAAGTAATTATAATTTCATAGGTGATTTTAACAGCAATTATGTATTACTCAGAACTGCCCCCAACATCTGTTAATATTAGTAAATTTAGTGATTAGCGTCAAAATACAAATAGATTTTAATTACATTGCTTTTGTTATGGTAGCCATTAACCCTTCCAATTTTCAAACCTCTCTTATGAATTATTTTGCTATGCACTGACACAAATTTCTTAGAAATTATTGATTTTAAAAGAAACTCGGTAGCTGGCATGCTTCATACAGACAACAAACAGAAGGAACAAACAAAACAAT